AAAGTGAGAAAAGCAGCCCAAGTTTCGAATCCAAAATGCCGAAGAACCCAAACCGTGAAATTGTTGAGGTACCAAAATGTCAAAGAATCAAAGCGTGGACATCGATGTGCCACAATGTCAAAAAATAGTACATGTAAAAGTGCTCAATCCAAAGAATCTCCAACATCCCAAGCTTAAAAATTGCCGAATGCTAAAAGTCTAACTTTCAAAGCTCCAAAATAGCCAAAGATCTCAAACAATTAACTTTGAAAGCGATAAAGAGCAAAATTAATCAAAATGCTACTACTACAAAAAGCCCAAGGTTCAAAATTGAGACACGTACTATCGATGTGTGAGTTTGAATCAAGTGATGGTATCACGATACATGTGGTGGCAACCAGAGCATTTAGATGTCAAAACCATGATCAAAAATTAACAAACAACTTAACCCGAACATGATATAGAGTATAATTGTGAGAGTGATTCTAGAAAATGATGCGAAAGAATTTATCAACTTTCATATAGGGAAGATACTCTCTTCAAGAAAATGAAATTTGTCAACGAGATTGAGAACAGGTTGTGCAGACGTAAACAATTGAAGTAAAAAAGAATATATGAATTTGAAACTTATTCAAGAAGCAAAACAAAGTTGAGAAAGCAATCAGATGAAAAATCAAAGTATCATCTTTAGCAAATGGTAAATCAGAGTATTTTGATGGTCTCTCTATTGAACTTTTTAAGTGGGGGGAGATGTTATAATAAATGGTATATAGTAAAGAGTATTTATTGAACCTATACTCACTAAAGCGTTAGAGAATGCTGCTATGTATAATTTTCTTCAACTTGGTATTTACGGAAGGTTGTTCCTATACATAAGTCATAAAGTAAGGACTTGATAGCAAACTATCGCACTATCATGGTGGTTAGTGTTTTTGCCAAGTTGTTTGACAAATTGGTGGAGTCAAAGTTGATCATATGGATTAAATCTCATCAAAAGATACCATAGTTTCAAGCAAGTTTTTGACCTACATACAACATCATTGATCATATCTTGACTTTGTGTATATTATGGTAGAAATTGAAGTGCAATGAAAAAGTTTTGGTTTGCGCCTTCATCGATTTTAAGAAAGTTTTTGATACTGTACTAGGTGAGCTCTTATGGAAAATTTGCAAGTCATTGGATTGCCACCAGATCTTCTAGAAGCGTGGCCACCGCTTCTAGAAGATCAACACTTTTCAAACGAACAAGTTTTTGAGTATCATTGGAGTGATTTAATGTTGTCACTCTTTCTTCCTCTATTTGGAATTTTCATAAATGATATCAAAGAGTGATTGGAGTCATGTGATAGTGAACATGTCAAACTTGAAAACTTTGTTATCAAAGCTATTTTGTTTGCAAATAATATCATATTACTGGCACATGATGCAATTAGTTTCAGAAACACCTATACGCTTTAGCTAGCTTTTGTACCAAGAATCAGATGAAATTAAATATGGAGAAGTCTAAAGTCATGATAGTGGTCACTAAATCCAAGTTCTACTTCTATCACAAGGACCTATCGGAGTTATAAATATCTAGACATTGATTTGTCTAATGATTATAGTCGGGCACTTTGTGTGCAAAAGAGAGTAATAGATGATTACAAAACTCTATATTCATTATTAAATTGGTGTAGAAGTGCTCATCTAGTGTCTTGGAATCTTAGCAAATTTTTATTTAGAAGGTTAGTGTTGTTGGTAGTATTATATAGAACCAAAGTGTGAGACTCTGATTGTATAAAGACAGGTTGAGAGTGTGTGAAGAGAATGCAAAAGATATTTTTACAGCAAAAAGTGGATGTGAGAAATCAAACTCTGTATGCTTCTTGCTGAAATAGTTTCTTTATCTCTAGAAAGTGAAGCTCTATACTTACCATCACTTACATTAGAATGATGAGATCTCTTGATGCTTCTTGTCTTATTCTTCAAGCTTTGCGTGCCACATGTGCCAAAATATGGTTAGCGGATAACATAATTTGGTCTTTGAGGTGAAATGTGGCGAAATAAGATTAGAACTTGCAACCTATGGCACTCAACAAACGTCTAAAACAGGAATTTTGGAACATTATTTGGAGCAAGCGCGACATCAAGATGCAGTTTTATCAACTTCATGTAAATCCTATGCTTGTTTATTGTGAATAGCAATATCTACTTGCAAGAATCAATACTTACTTACGTCATATTATTGCTAGGCATAGAACTGAATCTCATTGGCTTGGAGTAAGGAAGTTGGCTTAAAATTGATAGTAGTAAACCAACTTACTTCTCTCCTTGTAACGTATGTGATGGTGGGTACATTGAGCGTGTATTACTTTTCCTAGTTACGAAGACATTAGGCTTGCTCATAAGATAGATCTAAAGATTATTATGCTTTACTACAATTAGTTACTTTTGATTTAGGTTGTTATATTAGGGACATTATTAGTCACTAGCTTGGGATCTTGGGGTATTTTTACTTGTTTATGGTTTTAACTTGTATTGTGTTTTTCAGCCTTTTGATTCTATGGTCCCTGGGTTTGATCTATAACCATGTAACCTACATGCAAGCTCAAAAATTAAACTAATTGGATTATGCAACACTTTTATATAATCTTTTAAAATTAAAAGTAAAATTTAAACCTGGGTTATGTTTGAAATGCAACTAGAAGAATTTTGAAAGATTAAACTTGACAAACAAAAAATTTTACAACTCATCTTATATTCTTTTATATCAAAGTAATTATTTACTAACATTAGATTTGAATGCATAAGGTGTCTAAAATTTGATGCATTCACTTAGATATGCAGAATGTCTTTACTATCATGGATTTAATGAAACATATGTAACTTAAGCTATGAGTTAATTCTCTAGATAAAATTTCTCTTAGCTAAATTTTTGATGTGGATTTGAGATGAAATAAAATTTTAAAAAAGATTTGATTTCAGTTTAGTGAATTTTTATATCAGGAGCTAATTGCATAAAACCTCATGTTTGATATGATATAAAAATGATGTATCTTGCAGAAACATTTCAAAGATATATATTTCATTAAAAAGTAAAATAAAAACATAGTTAGTTGGATAATTTGATGATGCTGATCTCATTGATATTTTTTATGTCCTTGTGTGTCATTTTTTTGACTCATCAATCTCATACATTACACTGAAATTTATCTCACATTTTTTTCAGATCTAAGTCTAAACTGTTTATGATCTATGTTTGTAAATTTACTGATAAAAGCTGGTGATGAAAGTTGCATCCATTCAAAATTATTCTTATATATCATGTTAACTAATTTCTTGTTTAGAATTAAATTATATATTTGAATAGTATAAATAGGACGATGTAATTCCTCCATATGATTATATTTTATAAAGATTGAAGGTGTTGAATGAAATTTACTATATATTTTGATTACTATACTTCGATTTTATTTTGGATAGATCAAAATATATATTTTTTATATCATATTATCACTTTTATTCGTAACAAATAATAACGAATCAAACGCAAGAATCATAAAAGTATTCAGTGACATCATTTGACATTTTTTTCTATTTTCATTTCACATAAGTAAAGATAATTTAAGACATTGATGATGATATCTTAAAATATAATAGGATGAAAGATCTTTTAGCATGTGATAACTATTATAACATACTACTATCAATTATTTACAATATTATTATAACATTTAAAAGATCTATTGTCCATAAAAAATGACAAATATTTTTTCTTCTTTTGTACAATAAATTGACTAGAGTTCTACGTTGTGTTAGGACTAACTCAAAACTGTTATAGCCTTTGTATTTATAATTGGAAAAAACGATTGCTTTTCAAAATATGTTGGCTAAGACTCAAAAGCATACAACCTCGGTCACGTTAATGTAATTATAAAGAAGAAGTTCAAATAAGCTAGATTTTCTGGGATCTTGATTTTCTTTGGTTTAATGATTACTCATATATGTGTATGAATAAACATTTTGGAGGCAATAGGTCTTGCAGATGTATGTTTAAAACACAAACATACCTCTAATCATAAATTTGTGATTGCAGTAAATTAAAACAATGAATTAGTTCAGTAAAGTTTTCTGGTTCCGTGGACATAGCAGGAAATGGCGAAACATGTCTTCTAGTGTCGGTCGTTGTGTGTGTGAGCGTGTGCTCTGTTCTTTAAAATCTGCGTTATCTTTGTTTGTGAAATTTTCGTGAAAAGCCTTTATAACTTTATGCTTCTGAAAAATATCATTATTTATTTTCCGTAATGACTATTCATGTATCAAGTGAAAAAGAGAAGGGTATCATACTAGGTTGCACGGACTATCATTATTTGGAACTTTTTTCCTAAACTATATCGGTTAGCATGATTCCCATTCTTTGCAAAGTTATTATCTTTTGTATTCCGTGATGATATGATTCAACTTTGTTTGATTTTCTAAAATATACAATGTTTGTTATTTCTGTTTTTAGCTTTAGAGTTAATCCAAATTAAAATATACCGCATTGGGTGGTGAACATTATTATACTTTACTTTGTTTGTATAACATTGCGATGTTATACCATCGGTTGTCACGGCTGATTTCATATATGTATCACTCGATGTGTCTTCCAGTCACTTCGTTTTTGTTCTTCTGCTGTGCAAGATTAAAGCTGAAAAGTCGTCATATGCGAGATTAACTTCCTCACGAGCGAGTTGGTGTCAAGCTCCTGAAAGAGACAGAGAGCTACGACTCCTCCTCAACGAACCTGGACTTTCTGATCCTCCATGTGGATGGTGTCCCTGGATTTCGACCAAAGACGAGAGGAAGATATGAAGTAAAAGAGAAAGTAGAACTCTGTATATGTGAAAATCTTCCCTCCTAATTCTTCGGTCGGAATCAGTGATCTGAATCAGCAAAAATCAGTAACCTGGATCGCATCCAGCTGACCAGCACAACCGATGCTCGAATATATTATAAATAGAAGATGCCCTGTAGATCAGTCACATCATTTTCTCGACATTTTCAGGTCTGGCGAATGGCACAACTGTGTATCGGGTGGTCTTTCAGTCGAGGACAGGAGCTGCCGGTGTCATATCCATCATACACTCCGTACTTGCGTAATAGGAACTCGATGATTGTCATCTTTCGCCACGAAGTCAGTGAATTTTTCAACGCGAGTACTTCAAGCGCCTGTCCCATAACTTCTCTTCAGAAGCTCAGAATAGTTTGTCATTCTGATCGCATCACTCATCTGCAGCAGCATCGGGTGACCACGGCTGCAAGTACTGCAGAAACTCCGCAGCGCAGAATGTCTGTCGAGCCTTATTTTTTATTTGACATCAGTTCGTTGAGAATGAAACTGACAAGGCTTTTAGAAAGAGGTATGAGTATTTGCTGCAAATGTTTGGTGCATCATAGGTTCGGAATGAGGGATGGCTACGTGCTCTGAAGATCTTGCGTTCATAACTCGAGTATGCTCTCTCATATGAGTTATTCAGTCTTTAATGTTCAGATGATGTTGCTCACCAAATATGATCACCCAAACGAGCATGCATTCCATCTTTAGACTGGATGCAGCCATTATGCATTCCGACACTCAGCACAATAGATTGCTCATGCCTGCACGTGAAGGTTGGTGAAATTCAGAAGGAAACTTAACAGCTTATATATCAGAGCATGCGACTGTGCTTCGAGCATGGAGAAAGTGAGCCGGTTGCCACTTCCATAGCATCAGATCTGAGCTCTGATGATGCTCATTCCGATCTGTCCAGATTCCGGATGCTCCATTTTCCTTCACATCTTTCTTTGGATGCCAGAGTTTCGTGGTCTTCAAGGACGATGCATAGTCATCTGTCGAGAAGGAAGCCATTCACAGGCTTGGCCTGGCCCAAGGTCAAAGTTGAAGCCGTCGAAGCTGTCGAAGCTGTCACCTGCTCCTACTCCGGTGACCAAATGATGTGGCAGCAAGTGGCATGGAGATGATGTCGTCATCTACTTCATAATCTACATTTAGCCGTAGAGAGAGATTAAAAATTATCTTCGAGTTGGCAACATCACACAAGATTTCAGGACATGTGCGAAAGCCTGTAATCGCATTGCATTAAGTAATCGGGATTTTTGGCATGAGTGCAGCCAGTGTAGCGAATTTTCTATTCATGTAAAAGAACTTACAGATACATTCTAAAAACACAACATTTACTCTTCCTGTTCTCATGAGACACAAGCTGCTAGAGCTTACATTGCATGCTGTTCATGCGTGCAGGCAGATTGATATTTGACAAAACATTTCTTGTATCGATGAAGGCCAGGCCAAGTCAATTATGTACACTGTCAGGCTACATGGGTGACAGCGAGGATCAACATTTGCCATCAGTGGTGTGCTTGAGTTGCTTACGTTCTTGTGAGATGTTCCTCTGACTGGTTTCTTAAATTGCATTAGGAGCTTGTTTGGGTGTCCAAGCAGTAACAGGAAAATTATATGAGCTTGATTCAATCGACCACAAACTCTTATGCACAATTTATAACGCAAAAAGTCCTCATTTCAGATGCACGAGAGAGAGAGAATATGAATGAAGGATTGCTCTTGGATGGTCATTCACTCCAATGCTTGTGAGACATGAGTTGTCTTCTCCATGATAGTCACAATAACTATGTTTTACATTGCTCATTTAGTTCTTGCTAGTTGCAAGATCATCGATGAGTTCAACTGAACTTCAGCTCCAAAAGGTATGCCAACAAGTCTGTGGAAAACTTCAAATCGATGATAGTCTATCAGTGTTTTAACATATATCCTCGGGGGCCATTGTATCGTGAGTATATTTTCACTCTCTCTGCGTCACTTGGAATTTTATTTCATTTTCAATTTACGTTTCAGTTTGTTTCCTCATTTCATTTCACGTTGTGCTATAAATTAAAACAATTATTATGAATTTGTATATCTTAAATTACATCAAGTCGTTGTAGTATAGTGGTAAGTATTCCCGCCTGTCACGCGGGTGACCCGGGTTCGATCCCCGGCAGCGGCGATCTGCGATTTTGAGCGGAGATTTGGGTCTGCTGATTTTGTGTTTTAGTTCGATCCCCGGCAGCGGCGATCTGCGATTTTGACCGGAGATCTGGATCTGCTGATTTTGTGTTTTAGATCGCGTCTCGCGTTCGATCCCCGGCAGCGGCGTTCTGCGATTTTGGCCGGAGACCTGGATCTGCTGAATTTGTGTTTTAGATCGCGTCTCGGACTGTCAGACCTCGCAGAGGCCATTGGTTGGTTGGTTGTCCTCATACCCGGCACGAAAACAATCACGCACCGAGAACTTGCAGATTCTGACCTCGATGAGATTAGACATCTGACTTTTACTGCAGAAGAGCGGTCTCAAGTCGTAAGAGTTGTGACTTGTTTCTTCCGATTTCCGTATCGTTCTGTTCTTCTTTTATCCCTTATGAATCATGCGGATTGCTGAGGATCGATTCTGTTTTGTGAGACGGTCTACGGCTCGATCTGTCTCGCACTCGTGAATTGGAGAACGACTCTTGCAGTCTCAAACAGAGGAGCAGGAAGGCGAAAGATCGTTCATGTAGAATGAGTAAGTTGGAACGCTGGGCGAGGCCGGATGAGGAGTCTGCTCGATCGAGAGAATCGAGTCTCTTTCGGTCGGTTTTGAGGTTGCTGATGTTTTCAATGGGGATGAAATCCTGACCCTTGAACTCCTTGAGGAAGATGAAGGAGTCATCTTCCTCCACATCTTTCTCGCTATTTGATGGACATCAAATCACAGCGGCTGATCTCAGCCTCCTCCCACCTTTCGTCGTAGCATTCCCCTGTTACTGATCTGAAGTTTCAAGACGAATCGAGAAACCTCAAACGTTTCTCGCCATTCCTAGACAATCTTCGAGTCCGTACGACGATTTGGCAAATATCTTGAACAGCGAAAGAAGGGCTCTCCACTTTGCTCCTCCAGGAATCTGGTAATCAGAGGCAGGCAGCAATTCTCGAGATTGGCTCCATGTGGAGACTTGTAGTTGGACACGTCCCATATGCTCGTTGACACAGACGAGGGCCGTTCTCTTCCATGAAACATTTGATCGTTGAACGAGAATTTCTCGCTCGAGATACGAAGTCGACCAGCTCAATTCAGTTGAAGGTTCGTTGTTAGTGGAAAGCACTCTGTGATGCTTCTTCAAATGCTGATGTTCCATGTGGACTAAGAGAGGTCGGATATCTTACATGGAGGTGTCTTTGTTCACCATTGTGATGATAAAGGGGCCAAGCCCCATGTTTGAGTCGATGGCGTCTTCTCATTATTTATTTTGCTTCATTTATTTGGAAATCGTAAAAACAGTGAAAATCAATTTTGGATTATCATACTATAGCGTATAGAACCTCAAAGAGAATGCCTAGTACGTGTTTGTGTGAGCATTTTAACAAGCTGGGGTAAATTATATGAACTCAAGCAGTCTAAAATAAAACAAAGGAAATATATTAATTCTTTGATGCAATAGTATAGTGTCATTGAAGAAAACAACATACTCAATGTTTCAATCACTCAACGTAAATATTGCTCACATTCTACATATACAATAAAAAACTAGAGAGAATGAGGTTAAAATACAATTGAGAATGCAAGTTATTGAGTAGAGAATAGATTGAATCAAAATGTCATTACATGTAAATAAAAAGAAACCATAGAAAATTATAGCATGATAAATTTAAATATATTGCAAAATTATTTTCATATAGATTGGGATTTGCAAACTATGGTACTTTGCGAGTCTAGTAAAGAGTAATTTCTCAACATCATTTGGAGAAAACAAATCACCAAAAATGTAGTTTTATCAACTTCATATGAATCCTATGTTTATTTATTGTGAGCAATGATACCTTGTTGTAGAGATCTCTACATCATATTATTGTGAGTCATAGAACAATATCTTATAGGCTTGGAATAGAAGAGAACGGATTTGTAAACTATATAATGGGAGAAATGTTGAGAATGAAGAGTATGTGTTTCTTACTAATACTAGATATATAGAGATTATAATGACTCATAAAATTGTTGTTGAGAGTTTTGATTCTTTGCTTTAGTTTAAACCTTATGATGTAATTTATTACATTAGGGATGTTATTAGTTATCAATCTAGTGCTCTTGGCACTAGCTAGAGTTGTTCTTTTGATTCTCTCTTATGTTGGAATTGGATTGTTTGTTTTGTGTTTTTAAGCCTTTTGACCCTTTGGGTACCACGGTCTTGATTAATTTAACATTTAGATAAGAAAATGCTCTTGAATTAGTAAAAACCAAATGGAAATATATCTAGCTCATAGTCTCAAAGAGACGTGGCTCGAGTGATGACACTATGGAGAAAGAAGTTTCCACAAGAGGTTAGTGTTGAGTGGAATAATCTGATACGATAGCGTGCATAAACATTGGTATGTGAAGGCACTAGTTATACAATACTCCTCCAGACCTGAAAATGTTACTACTTCGGCCTTAATTGATACAAATGTTTCAAGTGTAAGTTTCTTTGCTCGTTATGAAAGAGAACACAGTATGCAAATTTCTTGTTCTCTTTTGCAATCTTGTATTCAAAACAATCACAAGAATTTCAACTAGATGGTCATTAGCACCTAGAGGAACAACAACAGCTCCCATGGACTTCAAATTCAAAAGCCTTTGATTTCTTCCGCACAGCTCCAAGCCCATTCCCGTTTGCACTATCCGCGTCGGCATCCCAGCTACAAATTGCTACGCTCTCTCTTCCTTCTTTTCATTTTTACATCAAGGATCAAACTACGGACTCCATTGTGGATTGGATAGACGTCACATATATACTAGAGTATTTCTGAAACTGGAAATCCAATTTAAACCAATTTCTTCTATCTAAAACATAAAAGGCGGCCGGAAGTTTGTGCAATTGATAGAAATTTAATATTTATGAAAAGTATGATCTAAATCGTTGAATCATTCTTAAATGTAATACTTAACACTGGGAATAAATTGCAAGATGATCCAATGGTCAATTTAATAGTGGGAGAATTAGATGTTTAGAATGGTATCAAATTTGTTATGTTGGTTCTGTTTTTGATACATCTAGTGTTAGATGATGGAAGGGGAAAAATAATCAACTGGATTGGAATCTAATCTTATAGGTTGAAACATTGTTAGATTAAAAATAAAGAATTGAAACAAAAATAATAGATCAAAAACTATAGAATAACATTTGTAGGAGAGAAGTTGAACAATTCTCCATGACATATATTGAAAAATCTTTATAGTTAAGAAATATTCGTTTTGATTTCAGAATCTGTTATTTATTCAATTCGGAATTAATAAAAAAATGAATCTACCGCTAATCTACCACTAATACCACTACCAACCCATCTAGTGATGGGTTGGTAGTGGTATAATTTAATTTGGAAAATTTGACACTTGGGATTTTGAAATTGTAAAGATGAGTGATTTCGAAATGGAAAACAAAGTATGAAATGCAGACAAAAACAAGCATTGAAATGTAAGCATTTTCTAAAATACAATACACGTTATCTTTGTTATGCTAGGTTCTTATGGACAAACCTAAAAAATTGTATCGAACATTGAGATATTATTCCATTGCAATCACCTACTTCCAGTATTGTCAAAATACAGGTAGCGTCAAGATATTTAGTTAATATTTGGTAGCCGAACTAAAGTCTACACCTTGTGGACTATAGATTGATACGGGAGTGCAAGCTGGAGTTTCATGAAGTTATCAATAGGTGATTGCATCCAAATATTTAGCTAATATTTCGTTGAGACATGTTGTGTAATCAAACTGGAGCAGTGTTTGCAAAATTGTTTTTGATATGAATATATGAAGAAATTTTGAACCTCATGCGATAGCCAATTCTATTGTTCCAATAAATCTCGAAAATCTGAAATAAAGATAAAAGAACTTGACAATGCTTGGATCTATCAACCCAAAGCAGACTTGGTGATATAAAACGACAGGATAAACTATTTGTTAATTCTCATTTTATCTATCACAAATATGAACTGAGATGAAATATAAGTTTTATTTACTAAACTCAGAAAGTAATATCTTGATGTTTTTGTTCTGAAAGAAACTCTGTTATTCTAATTGTGCAGATCAGATCTGAGCTGGCTGGATCCGCAAGGTCTGACAAGCGCATTCAAGGAGCTTCATCGCAGGCAAGAAAACATTCTGAGAATTCTGGTCGACGAACATAAGCAGGCCGGAGCCGAGTCCGAAGGCAAGCAGTCGTCGCGGAAGACCATGGCTTCTGTGGATGTGTTGCTAGCAAGGCAAGAACAAGCTTTCGGATACCGCTATTATGGGCACTACCTTAGTAGGTTTTGCAATAACTTGAGTACTCAAATGTCCTTGGAGAATATACGGTCTCAAATTCATTAAACCCTGTTCGGATTCACGGTTATTGCCTTACGGAAAATCGTTAGAAAAGGAAGCTAGAAAAAATGCAGATCTCATATATCGTGGTGAAGCCTACATACAGAATCTAGCTTTCAGCCAGCGCTTTGGTTCACTCCCTGTGATCACCATCCCTGGTGCAGAAATCTTTTTGAAGTACAGAATTCTCGAGGCTCTGACTCAATTGCACGTTCAATCAGTAGATTCCAAATTTTAATTACAGGTGCTACGAGTCGTATCAAAAGCATATCAGCGACGAATGCAAAATTCCTTTTTCAGTCCATGTTCAGATTTTGGAGAAAGCCATTTCAAATCAGGTTCTGATGAACCTCAGTGTCTTGTCTTCTATGTATGTATGTATGAAAAAGAAATGTGTCAGGCGAAGAGCCAAATCGGATTTTTACAAGTATCCTCCTACACAACACTTCCAACAGGAAATCATCATTTCCATTTCCAACCACCTGCGCTTGGTTCTCTTTATTAAAGCACTGATCGTGGTGATCATTTGTACATGAGAGACAAACTGTGGCGCTGATCCGCCAGAAGTAAACATGTGTGCATGCAGGACGTGTTTCTGGCAGCAACGGATTCAACCTCGGCCACAACACAATGGGCTTCGATGCAGCTTATTCGCAATCCTGACAAAATGGCCAATTTACAGAAGGAGCTCGACGAAGTGGTGGGAAGGGATCGCCCTATGACTGAGGCAGATATTCCCAAACTATCATATCTTGAGGCTGTAATCGAAGAAACTCTCCGTCTTCATCCGACGATACCACTTCTGGTCCCGAGAATGAACGAGGAGCAGACCACCCAAGGGGGCTACGATATTCCGAAGCACAGCTCCTTGTTCGTGAACGTCTGGGCCTTCAGTCGAGACCCAAAGCTGTGGGACGAAACCGAGACTTTCATGCACGAGCGATTCCTCAATGTTCCGATTCTCTCGGAGACCAAGGAAGGGGAGAAGGACCATCCTCTCGGAGACCAAGGAAACGCACCAGAGACGAAAGAAATTCCACAATCCAGATACTAAACAGCTTTATCGAATATCAGACGAAGTGGTGTCGACATACAGAGAGAAGGACGAAGAAGCAGAAAGGAAGAAATCCTGACAGTGAGCTGCGTCAAGGTGGCTTCTGTGGCCAGGTCCTTGAAGTAAAGCCTGTTCTCGTCCCCTCTGCTCGACGAAATTTGACAGCCAGTCGAATTCGCAAGTCTTTCTGACCTTAATCAATATGGAGATGTCTTCAATAGAAAAAGCGTGGTTTCTCTAATCGTATGTGCCAATTTAAATTTAGTTCGAACGAAAAAAATTCAGCTCCCTCGGTGTAGTTTTCGGTTTAATGTTTCAGACGAACATTCAAAGAAGTCCCACAGGTATTTTACTGCCTTTCAACTTGCCAAGTATACGAGGCACTCAGAGAATAACTTACGTATTTTCTCTCGGTAATATAGAATGTTCTAAAACGCTGAATGCGGGTGTAAAATTGTGTGGCAGGACAGTTCTCATTGGTATCAGTGAGAACCAGCTTGTACATGATGCAGACATTATAATTTCGCCCTTGCTAGCAGGTTTTGAGCATGGGACTATGGGCAACTGTCAGATTCTTGCTTCCATGGAGGACAGGCCATAGCTGCTACTAGATTAGATTGTGACTTTCAGTTTGAAGCTTCGACAGTCAGGCCATGACTAGGAAGTCATGGCCTGATTGTAAACATTAGACTGTGAAGTTTTGATTGATCCTCCTGCAGACAGCGGAAATGGAGAGACGTAGATGTTCGTGTTTAATGAGGACAAAGTCGGAGCCTTGCTCGATGCAGACACTGCAACATAGCCAGTTTGAACATGCTCTTTTTCAAATGTGTCAATTTAGCTAAATCAAATTTCAATCGAGCAATTGAGGATGGAAGATACAGACAAACTAGGCGAAAAGTTCTGATCACGAAATTGCAGTTCATTGATTTTTTTTTATTGAGATGGCAAACTACTCACAATTGTACAGATGGGGGAAAGATCCTGAACAATTCATTGCTGATAAAGAAATATAGTTTATAGATTTTAGTCATTTACGGATGCTTTGCAAGCATCTTCTGAAAGCTGGAAAGGGTCATGGAAGCAAGATTTAAGACAGGATACACTGGATTTACAAAATTGACCCCAAAAAAATTCTCACCTAAGCTGTAAGAGAATTTGAGAATATTTGCAAATTTAGAACAATATTTGAAAATTTCCGGTCGCAAACATTGAACAGGTTTGGGGAAAACCAGGGCCGCTGAGCACAGGATAGCCGCTGCTATCCTGTGCTCAAAATCTCAACCGATTTCCCTCCTTCGAATTTAGCAGATTTGTATGTGGAAGACACGCTTGGGTATAAGGAAAGTAACGCTGTGTATAAAGTACCAGTACCCATTACAAAACACAAAACTGCTGCAGATATCAAAGAATAACATTGAGTGGGAGTCCAAACTTGAGTTGAGTGAAAGCTGTTATAGATAAGACACCGTTAAGGGATTTTTAACATTGAGTTTAAATGGAGTGATGAATGAGATGTTTATGAAGAATGTTAATGAAATTATTTTATTTGGTGAATGTGAATAAGAAAAAACTATGGAGTTTTGAGGTGAGAATGATATGAAATATGCAGAATTAGTGTCAGGTAGAGTGGTAATGACTAATTTATTGGCTTGATAGGGGTGTAAATGTGCGTAATGAAAATTCTCTCATGATTTTTCAAAATATTAATCTGCTCTTGTGTTCTGAAGTGAGTCGAGTCTCAACTTTGGAATCGTGTAGCTCAGTCTGTGCAGCTACCAATCTATAGGACTTAAAGTTTTGCAGCAACGGTGGTTTTACGGGCTTGGAACACGCTGTGGGCTAATACGGTTAGCTTCAGAACTGTAGACCTAGCTGAAGCTGTGTTTAGAATCTCTCATGAGCTTTTGCTTCGCTGTTATTATTTATTTTGGTCTCTTCTCAGATCAGATTAACAGGTTGATATTGCTTGTATTGACATCTATTGATTGAGGAGAAAAACATCTTGACTCTATAAGACTGTTGTGGGCAGACTAGCCCTTGAGGCAAATATATCAGGCAAGAGATTCTTCATTATTTCACTTCTCTCTTGTTTCAGTTGATTTAGCTGGACTTCAGTAGATTTTATCAGATACTAGAGTACCCAGTTTTAATCCTATTAGGTTAATAGCATTTCAGATAATTCGGTTGGGCTGTTAATCTGTTATAAACAAAAACTACAATTGCCTATTGAACCAATATAACAACAAACAAGCCATTTCTTGTGGTAATTATCGACAGTGCTGCTATACTAGTGATATTGAGAATGTTTAAGGCAAGAGATCAATAATTGCCTCATCCTTGCACCAAGTACAACTCAGTTTCTCAGATGAGACCTCTAAGATCAAAGACTCATTTACATAATGATGAAATAACGGTATCTTCAAAGCAAGTCAAAGTGATCTGGATTTTGAATAGATATTTGTCGAAATTGAAGAAGCTCAAGCTCCACTTACCAAGTACGTGTTCTGTAAGCTCTTAGAGAATCTTCACATCTCAATCTTTTCATTTTGAACTGACTCTACAACTTGTGCAGAGTATCAAAGACTTCGAATGAGGAGAACCACCAGATACCAACTGAATGTCACGACCATTATCAGCTAACTGTTTATGAGGATCTGACCACACCGCACAGCGATGGTGTATTGCCCGGCGCGATGAGAAACTCGGAGATCATTATTCTCCTTCTCATGTTTACTCGTCTTCTTCATGTAACAGTTGTCACTGGTTTTTTTTCGTAGAAAAATTGCAAATTTTTATTTTCTGGTGAACACAGATAGCTAAGTAAAGTGACGATGGACGCATCGAATAAAAGGGACGATAAACCGAGTATACTTCCTGCTAACTAAGTAGGTGACTTACTGTACAGCTGAGAAGGCATTTATTAATAATAAGAAGAGGTTGTCCTCTCTAGGCTTCGTTCTAGTCACAAATACTTTCTCTTGGACTTGATACCAAGTTGATAGCGAGACTCTTCAAGTAGCAATGACATGCCTAATTCAAGAGAGGAGCTCTCTTCATCATCTTTCTATAACATCTGGAAGGACCCGGGTAAGGGAAGCTCGAAGAAAGCAAGCCATGTAGCATCTTCCGGAGTTTCTAGAGGTCTGCGTTATCTGAGAGGTGGATATTAAGCAAATGCAAAACTGGTATCTAACCTCCATCAGGACTGTCATGAACCACTCCTTGCAATCTCATGTTGCAGCTCTGTGCCTTTAATGTAAGGAAGCTCCTTACCTCCTGGATCTACAAGGTCTGCAGGAAAGCAGGCATACCCGTTCGTGAGTCTTCATCCTGGTTTAGCCATCTCTCGTGAAGGGAGATTTTTTCAACACGAAGCAATCTGTTCACCATTATTAGTTGGCGGTTGATCCGTTATATAAGATTTTCCTCAAGTTCATATACGATTGAAAGCATCTATGTTTTTTAGGTCTCTGATATCGAGTGTAGCGGTTGAAAGTCTCTCTGCTTTAAAGATTGCAGAGGTCACCAGATCTAGCCAACCAAGTCTTGTAATCAGCTTACGATAATTGGCAGATGGTTTGCAGATTCTTGAACCTGTGAAGAGCATTCTGATGCCAGCGTCTTGGACTCGAGGCTTGGACCCAACACTGTTCAGAGAAACCGAATGCATAAGGTTCAACTCGCGTCACCAGGGTCTGATTGTACCCAACATATTCAACATTGGTCTTGTGCGATAGCAACCATTTTCTCTGTGCATGGATTGTACTCTTGTTATACTTTATAAAGTGACCAGCCATGCCAGTCACACCGCTTCTTTTATCTCAAACCTATGTATTTCTGCAACTGTATGTTTTGTAAATAGAATTGGTGTCGAAGTATTGCACATCTGTCGTTTCTGTTTCCAGCACGCCAGTCCGTATCGGAGAAAGTCTTATTCAAACATTCGCGTGAGTAATTAATTACCTGATACGAACATGTGAGCTGGAGGGTAACGTGACAAATCCTGTGAATTCGCTGTTTAATACGCAAAGTCCGTCTTGCTAGATCAGCATGTGTTTTATGCAGAGTAGCCACAAAGTTGATGTCAGGATCTTCTCTTACATCGATTTCTATGTGACGGGCACAAGCTCAAATTGGTTTGGACCGTGTTTCTCAGAATTTCAGTCCTCTCACAACGTGTACACACAGACCTCCATCTTCTGTCGAGATCGTTAACATGAACTGAGGATACACAGAAGGTGTGGCATCTCCATACTATGGGGTAATTTCGAGTTTACGAGGATACTTAGATTTACAACCGTGGTCAAGCGACTTCAGTCTGAAGTGACGCTTGACCCTTATAACAGCCCAGAGTTGCTGAGAAACGGATCTTTGTATATCCCTACACCAAGTACAGAAGATCCAAGTCACAGTAGATTATTGCCAACTGCTACTGAAAGTGAAAGTACACACCACTTCATGCTCAGTCTTCAGGATCAGTTGAAAGTATCGACAATTTTATTCTTGAGTGCTAAAGTTTTGCACTCAAGAATTCCTTGTATTCTTCCCATTTGCTTTAGTGACGCCCAAATGATCTTTCACATGATACTTTTCGTCTCGCCTTTGACACTTTAACCGACTCTAGGTTAGCTTTTTTGCTGAAGTACCCTGACCGACCTACCTCCCGAACCTCGTTCAGTGGGTGGCTGTGATCGCAAGCGAGTTCCAACTTGAACATTCTATAAGACTGCTGTGCGAGGACAGTTCTGGGTCATCAGCTGTAATCGTCGACGTGTCGACTGATCGTTGTGACTGATGTAAGTCTGATGTAGTGCTCTACCTACAATCAAACGCCTCTCGCCTCCTACGTCTGCAGAGTCCTACTGCTTTGTTCTTCATCGTTCCACCACAAGGACACTACTGGTTCAGCCATGGAGCTCCACACCGGTCATCGCTTCTGAACTTGTCCAAAAGTCGTAGCCAGCAGCGATTATACAATTTTACGACGTCAACAGCAG